GGGGAGCAGTGCTGGAGGACAGCGGCCGCCTCAGGCACCTGTCGGGCAGCGCAGCCGAGAGCATCTCCCGAGCCCTGAGAGCCGAGAGGGATCTGTCCCCTCCTGCCATCACCATCCGCAGCTTCTCCTCCCCGCCCGAGTGCGGGGCCGACAGTGCCCGGGGCCGCGACAGCGACGGCTCCGAGCTCCAGGCTTTGCTCTTGGACGTGGAGCTGCAGCAGCAGACGGAGCCCGAGGGGATGCTGTGGGCCACGGCGGTGGCGCTGGCCTGGCTGGAGCACAGCTCAGCTTCCTTCTTCATCGAGTGGGAGCTGGTGGCGGCCAAAGCCAGCCTGTGGCTGAGCGGGCAGGGCTTCCCGGAGGGATCCAGCCTGGCCGCGGTGAAAGCTGCAGCCCAGCAGCTCTTTGTGCTGCTCCGTCACTGGGATGAAAAGCTGGAGTTCAACCTGCTGTGCTACAACCCGGGCAGTGTGTAAGAGCAGGAGGAGGGAAGCTTGGGCAGGTTAGTGAGGGCACAGGAGCAGGGATCTATCCTTAAGGAAATGCCTCCAAGGAGCTCAACTGCTCTGCTGCAGGGATGTGTGTGTTTATTAGAGCAAACCCTGCAAACAGAGCAGCCTGGGCAAAATCCTGCACTCAGCAGTCGGGATTTTGCCCTGGAAGGGAACCTACCACTGCCTGCAGTAGATGCTTTTTATTTTCGACTGGATCAGCACTTCCAGCTACAGCAGTTCCCTCCAATCCTGGTTTCTTCTGGTCTCAGCCCAGTTTCCAGAACAGATCTTGTAGCCTGCTCCACTTTCCCTGTCCTTGCTTAGATGCCTCTTCCCAGCCCTGAATCACTGCCAAGCCCCCACTGCAGCCCCTCAGCCCCAAATCCCTGCTTTCCTGAGGCTCCTGCCTGGCTCCTGCCATCTCAGATAGCTTTCAAAGGTCTGACAACATGCTCATGTCATGGATCAAAGGGAATCTGGGCTGGGAATGACCACGTGAAGAGCAGCCCTGCTCACACAGCCAGGAGGATCAAGCCCAGCCACGCAAAAAGAAGCCAGACCAGTTGGAGACTGGGACCAGACCCCATCACACCCACACGGTGCTGGGCTCCCTCAGGCCCTCTGCAATCCCAGCAGGAGTTTGTGAGATCCCTTGCAGCCAACGTGTGCCTTTGGAGCTTCACAGGCAGAGCCAGGGTGCCTGGGATTGAAGGATCAAGTGCCTATGGAGGGAGTTGTGTGCCACAGTCTGCAGTGTGGCTGCAATGCCCACGGAGCCCATCCCGAACCCGCTGCCTTTGCTCCCTTCCTTGGCATGTAGCAGCCTTGCCTGTCCCAGCAGGCTTCTGTCCCGTGTCTGTGTGTCTGGGGGTGACACAGGAGGGAAACCAGTGCTGAGGGCCATGAGCACCCCTCCAGTCTCTGCTCTGGTGTCACCTCTCCAAGGTCCCCAGGACCATGAGTATCCCTCCTGTCTCTGCTCTCAGTGTGGCCTCTCTGGGGTCCCCAGGATCATCCTTCTGGTCTTTCCTGTGATTTCACTTCTCTTGGGTCTTCAGGAGCTTCCTTCTGGTCTCTGCTTTCAGTGTCAGCTCTCTGGGTTCCCCAGAACCTCCAGCATCCCTCCAGTCTCTGCTTTGATGTCACCTCGCTGAGGCCCCCAGAACCACAGGCAGCCCCTCTGGTCTCTGCTCTGGTGTCACCTCTCTGGGTCCCCAGTGTGGCGGTGCTGCAGGTGCTGCAGGTGCTGCAGGTGCTGCAAGTGCTGCAGGTTTGCTGGCTGGGTGCTTTGGCACAGTCGTGTTCTCTGTTGTTGCAGAAGTGTTGTTGTCCCAGTAAATCACAGCCTGCTCTACTTCCCAGTGTGAGTCCTTTGCTTTGGGGGGGGTTCTTGGTGGGATTCCCTGGCCACTGTGTGGCTGTTCAGTAAAATACCCAAAAACCCCATCATGATTTAGTGTGTGAGATTAGGTCTGGGTTTCAGAGGGGATAAGGAGCTTCCTTCAGGTTTTGGGGAGTTGGGTTTTGCAAGCCCTGGATTGCACAGCATTTGGTAAACTGATGGATCCAGGATTTTAAAAATCAGGGGAAATTTGGTTTGATTATTCTCTGAGGCAGAGATGGAGCTGAAAAATCTTCTGCTGTCAATTCTCTGCACAGTTTATCCTGTCACCTTGGTCAGTGCAAGGAAGCAGCAAAAATCCTGCCTTCATCCCACACCTTCCTTAATTAGTGTTGTAATTACAGGTATTAATAAAGCAGCCATTGTGTTTTCCAATCCCAAGCAGGATGTAGGAGCTCTGCCATCCCTTATTTTCTCCTTGGCAAGCAAGGACCCCCCCGGATGCTTTTGGTGACCTCTGTACCTATACATATATCACAAAAACCAGACATTTCTGGCCCAATTTCCTCTCTCTGGACTCCATCTCCGGGGATGGAGAGGTCTCCCAAGAAGGGGGTTGGTGTCACCAGCCCCAGCATCTCCAGAGGCCCCCTCAGAGCCCCCTCTTTGCATCCAAGGGGATTTTCACCCCAGTAAATATTTTCCTTAAAGAAGTGCACTCCGGTGCTGTTACCGGGGTGACCACAAGCGCCTCATTAAGAGAAATTAGTTTGGATACAGTTGTCAGCTATAGCTTAATAAACAACCCCCTTTATGCTGTGTAAATAAATATTTGCACGCAGCTCCTGCAAGGGGAGGGAGAGACGTCCCATCCCGGGCAGCCTCGTGCCAAGGGGAGTTTTGGGGCGAGAATTGGCCAAATTGGGGTTATGGAGAGACCCCGCAGGGACCCCTCCGTGTCCCCATCACACCCGCGGTGCTCAGATTTTGCTGCTCCTGTCAGGGCAGCGGCTCCTCCTCCGCAGGGGCTCATTAGCCAGGAGCCGGAGGAGCCTTTTCGTGCTTTGAAGGGTTATGAAACCTGAGGGAGAGGGAGAGGAGGAGGACGGCAGAGCTTAAAAAAGAGCCGTCGTGTCCCCCCCCGCCCCACCAGCCAGCCGAAGGAAAAGGGCTGGCAGCAGCTCCAGCACAGATTGCGCCTCTGCCCCGTCCCCCGCCGCCGACGGGGTGCAGAACTTTGCTAGAAAATGACATTTTTAAAAGAATTTGCCGTGTTTGGTGTGCGTGTGTCCCAGTGAGGGGTGGGAAGGGGGCGCAGAGGTCGCACCCCAGCCACAACCCCCCGGCAGCACCCGCTGCTATCCAGGGGCTGTTCCAGATGCTTTTAGCTCCCCATCTCTCCAAATTGATGCAACTTCTACCTGCGATGCTGGGGAGGGGGTCTGAGCCCACCAAACAAACCCCCAAACCCCCAAAACCTGACCCAGGGAGCAGCGTGGAGCTGCCTTGTGTTAACTACAAAAGAGTTTTGCTTCAGGCGTGTTTTTCACTTTGATTTTCCCCATCCCAGGACCCCGGGCACGCCAGCGGGGGATGCAGCCATTTGGTGCCGTGGGCTCCATCACTCCTAAAATAGAGCCCAGGGGCAGCTTTTGGGTGTCGGAGGCATCTGAGTGAAGTCATGTGGATGTTATGCAAGACTTGATGATAGGTTGTAAACAGCTATTAAAGTGATTGACAGGCCCAGGACGAAGTTTTGAGGGGGGGAAGAAAGGGGAAAGATGAGTAATAATGATTAAAATAATTATCAAATCGAGACGTTCCTTGAATTAGGGGAAAGTTTTGTGTGGAGGGAGGAAGATGAAGAAATCACATTTGAGTGCTTCCCTGAGCTGGGGATTGGGAGGATGGGGCAGATACTGAGCACATAAAGTTTGGAAAGGAGGGTTTCGCTTCTTCAAAATCAGCTAAAAAAGCAATTTCAGCAGAAATTTGGCGGATTTGGGTTCACTGAGTGCCGGCACCCCCAAAGCCCAAGGGCTGAGCAGCCCAACGAGAGCAGCCCAGAGTTAATTAGGAGAAACAAGCAGATTATGGGGAAGACAGCTTCTATTTATATATAAATACTTCAGTAATCAGCAGTGAAGGGCAAGGGAAATCCAATAGAAATATGTGACTGTTTAAGAAGCTTTTTGAGCAAAATGTTACACAATCAGTTGCATTTGCCTGGGCCTCGCTACAAGTCCCAAGAAATTAAAGGGAAAAAAAGAGTGACCCTGAGCAGAAGGAAAGAGAAGGGATTTGTAGAAGCCTCTTCCCATCAGATAAGGGGGAATCTTGGGAGCCTAAATGATGTTAAGGATGCCAGCAGCTCACTTTGACCCCAAGCCCCTCAGCTCCCCAGCCAGAAGCAGCGAGCTCCACACCTCACGATGCTGGGGAAGTGCAGTTATGTACAGGTGAATTTCACTTGGGGAAAAAAAGATGCCTGGAGCTTCTCTGTGTTCCCAGGGTGCTGCTGTCAGTGGGTGCTGACACGGAGCAAAAATAGCTCCCCACGATTTCACACATCGCCCTCGCTGCCTCCTGCAGCTCTGCTGCACCCCAGCACAACACAGACTCTGGGGGGGCTCCGGGGGTCCCTGGGCTCAGAACCACCTTCACAATGGCTTTTAGTGGCAATCAGAGGGTTGGATGCTCACCTGCGGGCTGGGAGCTCTCTGAGCACCTGGGGGTTGTGTCCTTTCGTGCTGTTTCTCCTCCCAGGGCAGTGGCTCTGAGATTTTGGGGTTTGTTTATCCTGAAGGCACTATGAGGCCTGAGGCTGAGGTTTTGGGGGTGTCTCAGAGGAGGGATGGGTGCATGGCTGGGGTGTCTGACCCTGCCAGTGAGCTGGTTGTCCCAGTGTTGTGCCTTTGGGGTGGCTGCTGTCCCCATAGAGTCATTCCCTATATAAAGAAGGAGGATGGAAATTTTTCCCCTTGGCTGCAAGGAAGCAGCAACACTGCCCAAGGGTCCCTGGTGAGTGTTTGCTTCAGCTCTGGGTGTGCCTGTGGCTTTGCTGTGTGGGTTTTGGGGGGATTGTATTTAAATCAGGAGAATCAGCCCCTCCTGTGCAATGACTTCTGGTTTTCTCTTTGTGTGCCATCTGTAAAGTTCCCTTTGCTGTGGGAAGTTTGTGCTGGGCTGGGATGCACGAGTCCTGCAGGTTCTTGTGCCCTCCAAGTGCAGCCTCTTTGGGTCCCTTGTAATTGTTAAAATCATTAAATCTTCTCAAGACACAGGTATGATATTTCTAATATTTAAAAAGCCAAACTAGAGGTCTGTGGGCTTCTCTGCTCATTAAATTAGATAATTTCTTAGCTATTTTGTTGTGATTTTTAATCCTTTCTTTGTACAAGGCAGGAAAACAAGGGGTATGGGTAGTGAGAGCTTGTGGGTTTGTGGGGTGGGAAGGACTGGAGTCAAAATATCAGCTCCAGTGCAGTGAACACAGCACCTGGGAATCTTGGAAAGGAAGGCTGTAAAGGGTGTAAATCCCTTGGGAAAGGTGACTTGGTTGGCACTGCAGGTTCTTACAACCCTCTCTGGCCGTGTTCTCACTGACAGCCGTGGAGTTGAGCCAGACCCAAAGCAGCAC